AGTGGCGAGTATGAGTAAGTAGCTTGCACTGTTTGGATCATTACTTGATTTTTGTCACACTTCATTCTATTGCTTCACCATTCTTATGGCATTGTCAGTTTGGGCTCTGAGCGACCTAGGCGCTAAAGTGGCCACCTAGGTCGGCGCCCAAACCCAAAGGAGGCATGTGTTGTCTTTTTTTCTAAAGTTGGATCCCCCACACCTTCCCCATTTCATTGTATATACTATATAATAATTACGAATTAATGCTATTTTTTGGTATACCAATAAATTACTAATTACTGTTACATGCAAAAAGTAGTTTCGATAAATTAATAATTAGGAATTAATATTATCTTTTGGTTAATAATTACTGTTATATGCAAAAAGCAGTTTCGATAAATTAATAATTACTGTACATGCAAAAAGCATTTTCGATAAATTAATAATTACAAATTAATACTTGTTTTTTTTACCAATAAATTACTAATTACTATCCCATGCAAAAGAATTTTCGATAAACTAATAATTACGAATTAATAGTATTTTTTTGGTTTATCAATAAATTAATAATTACTTTCACTTGCAAAAAGAATTTTTGATAAACTAATAATTTCGAATTAATACTATGTTTTGGCTTACCAAGAAATTAATAATTACTGTTACATGCAAAAAACATTTTGATAAATAATAATTACGAATTAATACTATTTTTTTGGTTTACTAATAAATTAATAATCACTGTTATATGCAAAGAGCATTTTTGATAAATTAATAATTGCAAATCAATAAAATTTTTTGCTTTACCAATAAATTAATAATTACTATCACATGTAAAAAGTTTTTTTGATAAACTAATAATTATGACTTAATATTAATTTTTAGTTTACCAATTATTTAATAATTACTTTACATGAAAAAAGCATTTTCGATAAATTAATAATTATGAATTAATACTATGTTTGGATTTACCAATACATTTATAATTACTATCACATGCAAAAAGCATTTTCAATAATTATTAATCAACAGTTACCAATAAATTAATAATTACGAATTAATAAATATTTACTGATTAATTATCATATTTTCAAGGCGGCACCTAGGACAGGCCACCTAGTCCACGCCTAGGCGTTGGGCCGCCGAATTTTCTTTCATTATTTTCTAATTAATCTTATAATGCTCTCTTCAATTTTGAAAGGAAAAAAACCACACTTTGTTCTCTTTCCTATTTCTCCATTGTTTGTTGTTCCTCCTTGTGTGTTTGGGTCATAGTTACCGGAATGGCATACTTTGGTAGGCAATCCCTTCGGATCTCAATCCTAACATCCAAGAAAGGGATCTTCCAAGGATCACTTTTTTGGAATTTAGGATCTTGATCCATTTTCAAAGGAATGAGTTCCTTTAATCATGTGTTTGAGTCCCCAGCTTCTTTGGGATCTAGTTCCTAAATGATAGGGTTCTCAGTCCTAGGAGTCATGGGGTCCAGATTGTATTACATTGTAACACAAGGATCCCCGTATATTGCATCTAGGTTCTATTGCATTATAACTTTGGTAGTCATTGCAAGAACTTTTATATTTCAGTGCTTCCTTAAAGGCAATATATTTTCTTAAAAGGTAAATAGTTTATAATAATTTGGAACTTTTCACACTACATAAAATCCCCCCATGATCATCCATAACGAAACGCTCCATACCCCTTTTGCTAATGGGCAATCTATTATTTAATAAACCTCAATAAACAACAAATTATTTCATGTATATAATATTTTGGGCTAAACTTTATTACATATTACTGTGTTGTTCCTATTCATAGAAAAAGATGACGACACATGTTTTGGTACTTTACAAGAATCAAACTACACAAACTATAAATGCCATAATTTACTAAATGAATATATTTTTTAAATATGTTAATACTATGGAATAATTTTAAGTTCATTGTTTATTTTACAAAAATTTAAGATTACGTAAAGCCAGGGAGCCTGTTTAAACTTACAAGAGTGCCTTGTTTTTCAACTTAATGAACCTCGCTCCTATAAAATTTATCCATCGCTCCATACTAAGTTGGATCATTTTTCCCATTGTGGTTTCAAGGAATTGATAAAACTTGCGGTTGGGAACTTCAGATCTTAATCAAAGGATCTCATTCCCAATTATTGTAATATTAATCTTAACTAATTGAGGAAGTCAATCTCTAATATACATGGATCGTTTTCCTTATGTTTGAGGATGTATGACTGTCGATCCCCATCATAGGCATCTTCTCAATAGCTTCAATCCGTTGATCCCTGGCTTAACTCTGGAACAGTTTCCAATCCCATTCCCAACAACTATGATTTATGTGTGTTTATTTTCTTCACGTGTTAATAAGTTAGATCCTCGTGTGTTTTATCGAGGTATTCATTCCTCCAGAAAAGTTCTCGTTCCTATCATCTTGGTTTTCGAAAGAAATTTGTTTGTGTTGATGTTGTGTTTTTTTTAGAATACTCTTTATTTTCCATAAGAGGGTCGTATCCTTAATACATACATCTTTTATCCAGCTCTGGAAGGAGTATCAAGTCAATCTCTTATAGTTTCTCTTTGTATTCCTGTTGATACTTCTTCACTTCAATTACCTGGCCCTGTTGAACCTATTACTTCTACACATCGAGGCGGCCCATAAAGGTTTACATGAGAAGAAAAGTATAGGATGAACACTCTCCACCGACTTAGCCATCCGCTCAATCATCATCTTTGTCTATGGATCCACTTATTGCTTCTTACTCACATTCTGTATCAGATGATAATAATGTACCTATTGCCATCCATAAAGGTGTGAGGTCTTGTACTTAATATCCAATTACTCATTTTGTTACCTTTACAAATTTATGTTCATCCAATCAGAGTTTTGCTTTAGCTCTTTCATCTATTTCTATCCGTAAGTCTCATCAGGAAGCACTTTCTCATAGTAGTAGCAGAAAACAATGGAAGAGGGTATGACCGTGGTGAACTTGAATGATACATGGGGGCTTATTGAGTTGCTTTTTTGAATAAGGACTATTGGGTGTCGTGTGTTGCATTTTGGCCATAAAATATTAGCCTGTTGCACAGTTGAAAGATTACGGGCCAGATTGGTTGCAAAAGGATATACCCAAATCTTTGGCATTGATTTACTCTAAAACTTTTGCTCTTATTGCTAAACTTAATGCAGTTCATTTGGTTACATCTCTAGCAGCAAACAAGGGCTAGTCATTGTGGCACCTTGATGTCAAGAATGCCTTCCTGCATTGTGATTTACAAGAGGAGGTGTATATGGAGCAACCATCTAGGTTTGTTGATCAGGGAGAGTAAGACAAGGCATGTAAGTTGAAGAAAGCCGTTTACGGTCTAAGGTGGTCCTCGACATTGCATGGCTTGAGAAATTTAGTGAAATTGTTGTTGCATATGGATTTGGACGAGGCCATGCACATCATTCAGTGTTTATCTGTAGACAGAACTGCACGATGATTGTCTTAGTTGTTAATGTTGATGATATTGTCATTACATGTAATGATCAAGAAGGAATCGGTCAGTTGAAGAGACATTTGTACATAGAATTTGAGGCATGTAAAGGGAACTCCAGGTCGAGGTCTATTTTACAAGTTAAATAATCATTTGACCATTGAGAGCTACTCAAATGTTGATTAGGCAGTTCTCCACTTGACAGGTGGTCTACTATGGGATATTATTGTCTCTTTATTAGTGGAAATATGGTTCCATGGAGTAGTAAGGAAGAAAATATTGTGGCTAGATCTAGTGCAGAGGTTGAATATGGAGGCAATAGCACATATTGCATGTAAATCGATGTGGTTGAAGACAATAGTGCTGGAGATGAGATTTGTTATTGTTGAGCCTATGATGATGTACTGTGAGGCCAACAATTCAACGTTCATCAGAGAACTAAGCATATTAAAGTAGATTGGCACTTTATTCGAGAGAGGGTTACTACGAAGCAGGTGTTTGCTATGTAGGTGAAATCCAAGGCTGATCTTCACCAAAGGCCTTTGTCATAATTTGTTCCAAACAATTTCTTTCAAGCTGCTCATAGGTGACATTTATGCTCCAGAGAAGGGGTGTGTTAGAACTCTTTTTATTTTTATTTTTGTTTCATTTAAGTTATTAGGACCTATGTGTCTTAGTTCCAGTGTGTCGTAGTTCCAATTTATATGAGCAGTATTGCCATTTATCTAATTTCATTAATGTAAAAGAGATTTGATAGGTGCAGGGACCTAATTGGACTCTCAAGTCACTCTCTCTTTTTTTGCTTCTTTCTTTTCATCTCTCTTTCTCTCCTCTCTCTCTCTCTCTCT